ACAAATATAGATCTCTTCCAGTCAGTTGGCCAAGTGGTTGTTCTCCAGATTTCTTGGCACAACTTGGTGAGCACATCCAGGGCAGCATCTGTTCGCTGAAATATGTCAGTTGGTATACCATCTTTTCCTGGGGCCTTATTTTTTGCTATTTCCTTCATAGCAGCTTGAACTTCTTCCTTCTTGAACTTCTTCCTTCATCACCATAGGCTCTTGTTCAAATGTTATTTCATGAAATTCTTCTGTGTCTGCCAATTCTTTTCGGTACAGTGACTCAGTATATTCCTTCCATCTTCTTTTAATAACTCCTGGATTGTTTAATGTTCTGTCTAAATCATCCTTGATTATAGCAACTCTAGGTTTGAATTTGTTCTTCAGTTCCATGTGGTTGAGAAATGCTGAACGAGTTCAGCCCTTTTGATTTTCCGATTCTGGCGCCTCGCACATTTCATTTTAATATTTTGCTTTGTCAAGGGATATTAGGGGAAATTAATTTTGTTTTCTTTTCTTGTAACTTGTCTAAGAATATCAAACCAAAACAAGTGGTTAGTAAATGTTCTCCCCTTCATCAAGTTATACTTGGAAATAATATACCATGTTCCTGAATGTTTTCTGTGTTGTTTGGAGGGTGTTGCATATGCCATTGTGCCGATTGGGTGTTAGAGGTGGTGGAGGTAGAATACGATGTGTCTGCCCCAGTCTCAAGATTGACTTCTGCATTTTATCCTGAAAGCCCTACCAGATAAAGAGCAATGTTTAGTGCCTTTATGAGTAGCCTGAGGACTAGCAAATTTATCTTTTACTTTTTTTTTTTATCTTTTTTTTATCTTTTACTTTTTGACTGTTATTTTCCAAATACCTAATTTCTTTGAGAGGGACTGTGAAGAGACCAGTCTATGACTCTGTGCCACATCAGGCATCCTAACAGCAAGCATCACGGAAAGGGCTCCATTGTTTCTGGCTCACTGATGTGCACTATATTTCGGTCCAAACCCTAAGTTTGGTTCTTCTTGCCATCAAGGTATTTCCAGTTTCTTCCCAGGTACTTCATCATGTACTCCCTAAGTCCTCCTAGTTCAGTGTAGATGCACTGAACAATGCAAGGTAGCACCCTCCCAAGAAGTACTATCTCCAGATTTTGCCCGAGTTATCTTACACTCATTCACTCATTGCTGTTGCATTAGAACCTATTCATAGCAAAGCCACCAGCCGGTTTCTGAGGCTGTAGCTCACACAGGATGAGACCGTGCATCTTTCTCCCATGAAGCTGCTATAGTATATTTCAGCCACCAACAAGTCACCACTTTTGGATTAGCAGTGCAACTCCATGTGGACTACACCATCAGCACTCCCTCCGTTCTTACCTTTCCCTAACTACAGCTGGAGAACAATGAGAGGACAGCTAAGCAAACAGAATTTCATTCTTTAAATTTTCTGGGAGTCAATTCTAGGAAAAGACTTTCTCACTCCCTCACAATTGAGGAAGAAGATGCATCTCCTCATGTGTGATTTACAGCTTCTGAAAACCTCCTGGAGGGTCAGCTGTGAGTTGATTCCAACATGATAGCAATGAGAGAGAAGGCTTGTTGGACAGGGCTTCTGATAGCATAGTGACTTAGCATTTATTTGTCTGCTAACCCACAGAGGCGGAAGACATGACAGGGTTTCCATAGAGTACAGTTGGGGAACTTCATGGGACTCTTCTCCTCTGGGGTAATTCTGTCTCACAGCACAGAGTGTTTTTAAAGGTTAACTTTTTAAAAGATTGGACTCATGGAAAAGGAGCACATACACCTGGTGATTACTAGCACTATTGTTCTAGGTGCTTTGCTTAATCTTGTTTAGTCAACACACAGGCATGAGGTAGAGGTCTTCTCCCTGTTTATAAATCAGTGGTTTTGGTTCTGTGCTCATGAGATTACACCTTAGTAAATGTTTTAAGATTTGTTCCTAATATCACAAAGCATAGGGTCCTGAAAATGTGGTGGTATAGACTGTAGTGGATAATTGCTAAGGTATTAGCCTTTAAGATATTTTCATTTCCTTTTTTGCAAGTAAAAGCCAGTTATTGGAGGTCCATTATCATTATTATTCATGAGCCAACAAATGTCTGTTGACTGACACTGTTTGAAGTTAAAACTGAAGATGGACATACTTCATTCTTTCTGAATTTCTCAAGTCAATCATACTCTGTTCTGAGCAGTCTCATAGTTTGATGGGAGAAGAATGTAGTTCTTCAAGAGACTCCTGTATCTGGGGTACCAGAAACCCTACAAGCTTAAACCCTTTTCTGTTATTCCTAAAGAATGCATTATTTTGCCTAAGAAGCATAGAATAATCCTTCTGCTTTGAGAAGAGAATGATTTTGTCTTTATTTTAGAGTTTTCAACCTTATCTTTTTGAAACATTAGTTTTACTAGGTAGACTGAGGAAAAGGAAAAGCATCTGTGTTCAGAACACCCGAGAAGCAGTGCCTTTAACATCTCTGAGAGACTCTCGATATGTGGGAAGACCTGGCTTATCATCTTCATCACAGTGTCTTTCAAGTTTGACCACATGTTCTCATGCTATAAGTTTGAGAAGAGATGCTGTGGGCTTTTGTTAGTATCTAGCACCTCTTCTTCATGGCCTTAACTTTCTGGTCAGCCCTTCATTCCCATTTATGCCTGCTTTGCTGCTTTTCTCTAGGTTGGATGGACTTACTGTTGCTAGATCTTGAGTAGGAGCTGGTTTTTTCTATTTTTTCCATGAGACCATTAGTCTAATCATTTTTCAAAAATGGTTATTCTATTAAAGAAGACTACTTCTTGGTCAAATACAATCTTTGGGAACATCGATTGAGAAAGATGGATGGGACCTGCTTTGAAACATGTTGCTACAACAAACAGCATATTTCCCGAGCCCTTCCTTTCTAAATGAAAGTATGAAAAGCCACTTTGACCTCAAATAAACTCACTTTCCCTGAGAGATGCAGTCATTATGAAGGGACTGCACAACAAAAGCAGATTTCATCAGGAATTAGAACTTTTGAGTTTCTCCCCAGTTTGCTCACCACAGAGAGAGCTTTGAGGACACTAGATCCCCATGGGCATTGTGTGCTTTGGGGAAGATTAGTTATTCTCCCTAAACAGCAAGGTTTACCTCCTCTTACAAAAGCTGCTTCTTCACTTTTGTTGTTGTTATGTGCTGCCAAATCGCGTGCCACTCATAGCAATTCTATGTAAAACAACACTGAACCCTGCTCTATCCTGACCCAGTCTCACTGCCTCCAATACCCCTAGCCCCTACCCTAGTTACTTTATCAATCCATCTAATTCAGGCTCTTCCTTTCCTGCACTGTCCCTCCACCCATCCAAGCATGATGTCCTTCTCCAAGGATTGGTTGCACCAGGCCATGTGCCCAAAGTATGAGAGATAGGGCTTAAAAATCCTAGCCTCCAAGGAAAAACTTTGCTTCACTCTCTCCAAGACAGACCTATTTCTTTTCTTGATGGTCAATGGTATGTTCAAGCCTCTTCTCCAGCACCACAATTCAAAGACATCAGTTCTTCCATCATCCTGAGTCATTGTCCAGCTCTCTGAAGCATAGCAAGTAATTGCAAAG